TCTTGTGTTTTTCAGTCCCTGCAGTTATATGAGTCAGAAGAATTCTCCAGCCTGACCCATGGACTTGGAACTTGTTCAGTTTTACAAAGTTCCTTGATATAAACTTCTGTACATAAAAGCTTCACGGGTTTTGCTTCTCTAGAGAAGCCAGCTGAAGACATCAGCCTAGGTGACTTCTAAGTACTAGTTACCAAGAGCATTATCATATAATAGGATTTCACCACAGAAGTTATGATGGAAGCCATTGTATTTTTTCCCAGATAATATTTCAAATAAAAGATTTATGGAAAATGCTTGGTTTTATATTACTTGAATGACAGTACTAAAGATTTATACAGGATGCTGATCTACACCCATCAGTACACATTTCCTCAGGGGCTTCAACAGTTTGGGATGTATAAAGTTTTCTGCCTTTTTATTTTAGCAAATAGTAACATAATTTTAAAACTTTCATGTCTTCTATGTGACACCTAAAATCAAGTCCTGTATTAATTAATACAGTTAGAAAAATAACAGCCTTTAGAAATTCATGATATTGGTTCATGATCCTAATCACATAATCTCTTCAAAATTAAAACAATTTTGAAAACTCTGACATGATGAACTTCCAGTTTTATTCAAAAGACTTAAAACTTTGAAGCTACTAAGATTGTTAAGTCACTGCTTTAATCAATTATTTAATTGTTATTTTCCTTGGAAGAGTTAATTCCCATTGTACATTGAATGAGTTCCTTTCCAATGTTAATAAATATAGTATTTACAAGCATTTTTAGCTACTTGACACCAGTAAAAAGGTAAACTACAGGAAGGAAGACAAAGATTTCGTAGGGTGACTTCATAAAGTATGGGGACAAACTGGATTGGCAGGAGAGAGTTAGAATGAGAGGAAGGTAACAGGGATGTGATGGTCATTCACAGATGCACACACAGAGCTCTAAGATACACCTAACTCCAAAGGATAAGACCAGCTAGTCAATAGTTTTTGCTCTTGATAGAACAGAGGTAAATGGTGACCAGTGGCAATCAAGATAAAGGAACATTGCAATGATATGTTATTTTAAAAGAATACAAAGGTACACCTAATGGCAGATGAGGATAAGTATTATAAACCCAAGTTCCACAAACTCCATGGAATTTACCTAATTTAGTTGAAATACTGAAGTGACTTCATAACATGAAGGACATAGCAAGGATAATGGAAGATTAAATGTAAAGAATTCCTTTTGGCATCAAAAAGCAATAGTGATTAAATTTCTACAGTTTTAACTATATTGTGTGCCCTTTGTAGACAATGCTTTCTGCAAAGCATTCCATAAAGATATTCTACCCAGCTGACATTTTTGATGCACTTGGCAAACCCACTTATACTACAGAAGATTTCAACATGGATAAATCAAAAAGTATTACTACAAAATCATAGAAACCTTTATTAAACAAAAATGTCAAAATATAAAGTGATTGTTTCTAAACATATCCTCTCCATCTAGGTCTATACGCTTTTCTTTCTTTTTTTTTAATTGGCCACTTTTATGCTTTTATTTCTTAGCAGCCTTATTCAGATAACATATAATTCAGGTAACAGAATTTGCCCATTTGAAAGTGTGTACAATTCAATGTTTTTTTAAGTATATTTACAAGAGTTGTTCAATCATCAGCACTTTCAATTTTAGAACATTTTCATCTACCCAAAACAAAACCCCATGCTCATTAGCAGCCACACTCCATTTCCCCACAAACTTTCCAGCTCTAGGCAACCACTAATCTGCTTTCTGCTTTGATGGTCTTGCCTGTTTTTAGGTCTATATACTTTTTGTTTTTGTCTATCTATAGGCTTTTGAAAGCAGTATTTCAATCTCTCTAACCCTTCCCTACACTCTTTGACTTACACTACATCAAAATAACAGTTTTGGCATCCGTGAGGATCATGTTCCTTTTCAATGTTCTTTGAGTTTTAGAGATAAAAAGACTGAAGGGACAAGTTCAGGGCTATAAGGTGGATGGGATAAGATTTCACAAGCAAATTCTCATAGGACAGCCCTTACTGACCTTTGAAGAAATGGGCAGGTGCATAGTCATGATGAATGAAAAAAGTCATCTTCAGTGTAACTTTCCCAGACTTTTTCTCATCAATGCATTTTTCAGTTAAAAAAAACAAAACCCAAAACTTATTGCTAATAAATATTCCAGTGACTGTCCTGTGTCCTTTGAAAAATCTATCAAGATTACCCCTTGGATAATGCACTGGACTGCAAGGTCAGTGGTTCAAACCCACCAGTCGCTCCTTGGAAACCCTACATAGGGTTGCTATGGGTCAGAACTGACTCTATGGCACTTAACAACAATAACAACATAACCTTCTATGCTGACCTCTCTGCCTTGAATTTAACTGGTCCAGCAGATCCCTTCAGAAGCCACTGCTGATTGGACACGGCTCTCTGGATTGTATCGGTAAATCCAAAATTTATCCTCAGTTTTAATTCCATAAAATTGTCTTTATTAGTTTCAATCTTACTTAAAAGACTGATAAACTGATCTTGATATATCCAGCCAAAATCTTGCTGAGGCCAAGATATTCACTTAAAATTGAAAATAACAAACCATGTGGAGTCCCAACTTCAGAGGCTATTGAATCAGTGATAATTCCATTGTCTTCTCAATCAGTTTCTGGACTTATGCCACAGTTTTCTCATTTGTCGAGGCTGATGGTCTTCCGTCTCTTGGCTCATCTTTGAAGTGTTTCCAACATACCTTAAAATACCCTCTCCATATAAAAACTGTGTGTTATGTAGGGCAGCATTCTCATAAACTTGCAGCATAGTTTCAATGATTTAGGAAGATGATCACTTGAGTTTTGTGGAAAATTTGCTATTAGCCCTGACCTCAGAATAGTTTCTTTCCCATGGCACAAAATGTGTCTTTTTTTTTTTCCTAAGCTACTCTAACAAGAGTAAGACAAGTGTATTACTGAGAGAACTTCTCTGCAGCCTTCCACTGATCAGAGATGTTTAAGCATCTGTGTATGTATGAACTGGAATCCTAGTAGCAATACTTTTTGACTTATCCTTGTATACTTGAATGTTTTGTAATAGGTGTTCATAATGCTTGAGTCAACCTAGATAGTATCACAAACCTGAAGAAACGAAGCAAAAGTTACACTTATTAGATGTTTTCTTTGTAAATGATCATTTCAGTTTTAGGGCTTAGTGTCTTATGTTTTAATAAAAACAGTAATGCTGTGATTTTTTTTTAAAAGCACAATTTCCTATGTGCATGTTATATATACATGAAAACACCATTTCTTTCCACCTAGCCCTCTCCCTGGTCATGATTAAGAAGCCCAGGCATGGGACCATTAGAGTGTGTGGATTTATATACTGATCTAGATATAAAGCTCAAATAGTTCCTTGAAAAATCTGATAAATGAGATTCACCATACAATGTTTTGAAGCCCTTATGAGTCTTCAAAATAATTTAAACATTTACACAATCAGTGAGGTTTCCCTGGTGACCCACTTTTACATGTAAATACAAACTATTAGCATGCATGATTTTATTCAACTGGCAGAGTTTACTTCATAAGTTAAATTTTAACCCATTTATTGAATTGTAAATTTTAATCCATTAAATACTACTACCAGAGCAGGTTTGAGGTACATTACTAGAATCCTAGTAGCAATACTAATCTAATACAGAAATGTCACTGTATTCTAATACACTATGAAGTGCTACTGTCATGCCTTTGAATAATGGATTTTGTCATAATTTTGGCTAAAGATGTATATTAAGAGCTTTTAGAAAATTACTGTATATGTGCATTATTTGACTTTCCAAGCATTGATGGCAATTTGATTGATTGGTTGCTTGTAAGCATACCAAAATGATAAAGTACAGCCCATGCCAATCAAGCTGAGAGATTTCAGGAATACAATGCTCCCCTCCAAAATACCTTTGTCAAAAACTCAATCTACTACGTCATTTACAAGGAAAACTAGTGTAAGAAAAGCATTTGGAAAGCCTGTCAACAGGTTGATTTTTCTTGTAACTTTAAAACAGCTAGACAATCTTTTAAAATTCACTTACAAAAATAAATTTCACTTTGAGACTGTAGGTGCCAATTTGTGGCTTAATTTAGTTATTACGGCTACATGATAAGTTAAAAATGCAATTACAAATGTCCAAGCTCCAGCTTGTTCCCCATAATGTGGTGGAGCAGGCACCTGTGTTTCCATAACTCATGTTGCTGTCAGCCACAACACATTTGACCTCTTGACAGGCTCTTAGAGTCTTTTTGTCTTGAAACTCCCACAAAAATTTAATTCTTAGACTCCATTATAAAACTACTGGTAACCCTGATGCATCTGAGAGGGCTGCTGGCACAGAAGGCACTAATTTATCTCAGAGGAACACTGGCCTACTTGCTGTACAACCCAAACAGAGAAGTGCTGCCCTAGAATGCTGTCCTAAATTACATCAGAGCAACAATAATTTAGCAGTCAGTTTGATAATGTTAGCAAATCCTCCTAGGTTTTGTTCTGTGAGATGATAAATAACCTGTTCCTGCTAAAGAGTCTGGCATTTCACAGGGAATCGGGTCACAACATACATTAGACATGAACACTGTCAGGTGGAAGTGTCAATATGACTTACTGTGCTAACGCTGACACCTGGGTAAGCTGATTTTTCATGTGAGCTTTTGGCCCTAATAAAAAATGTATTTGAGAACAATAAAGAACCAAATGAAGGAAAAGATTCTGGACTCCAAATCCACGCACACAAAAGCAACTTTCAAACTACTGTTCTCTCTCAGTGCAAGTGAGCACCTGGCTGGCCTGCCACACATCATCAATCAATACGAACATTCAGTCTGAGGGACAATGGAATGCAGCAAAAATCAGATCAGATGCAAATCCAAACCTATTAAATCAAGCCACAGAGAGAAAGCTCAGTGTCCTTGTGCATGGTCACAGACATGGAACACAAAGCAACTAAGAGCACTGGGCTCAGATCTCATTGATAGTCCTCTCTGAAGGGCAGTATTCCGTGGGGCCTGATGAGGACATATAAAAGGACTGAGTCTTCCTTTTTAACCGGGCTCTTTTGTTGGCCAGCACTAGGCTATGCCGGCTTGAGCTGATGATTTCCGAAATGAACTTCTTGCAGTCTACACACACCTCGGTGGTGCTCCAGTCCTCCATCAGCTCTTTGGGAAACTGGAACTCTTCATCTGATTTGTCCACAGACTTTGATTTTGAGGAGAACCTAGAGGGGGAAAAAAACCCAAATCATCTAGTATCATTACTCACAGTTTTATATGTTAAAATTACATATGTTTTAAAAAAAGTAAAGTTGTTGCCAAAACATCATGGAATGCTGAGAATGATTTAATTATGTTCATGTTCTTCTCCAAAATAATTTCTTTTTAGAGACAAGGTTAAGAAATATTTGATAAAACAAACAAGATGTTTAAATTACGAAAAATTAATACTGAAAACTCGTATCCATTCTAGAATTAAAAAAAAGTATATATATATATATATATATATATATATATATACATATACATATATATACCACATTACTTTATATATGTTACTGTACAAACAAATACATACACAAACACACTACACACACAGGTATACCTCAGAGATACTGTGGATTTGGTTCCAGATCACCACAACAAAAGTGAGTATCACATTAAAGTGAACCACACGAATGTTTTGGTTTCCCAGTGCATATAGTAGTTATGTTTACCCTGTATTGTATGTAGTCTATTAAAAGTGCAATAGCATAATTAAAAAGTTTGAAATATTGTGAGAATTACCAAAATGTGACAGAGAGACACAAAGTGAATTCAAGCTGTTAGAAAAATGGTGTTGATAGACTTGTTTTACATAAGATTGCTACAAACCTTCAATTTGTAAAACTGCAATATCTGTGACACAATAAACCAAGGTATGTCTGTACATATATAAGTGTGTGTGTGTATATAGAGTGAGGATTTTAGCAACTAAAATGAAGTACATGGTGTTAATGTTTCATTGAGACACAGAAGGCACTTCAAGTTCTTTCTTTAGTGATTCAGGGACCCAGTAGAAGGATCAAAGAACATCAGGTAACACAAATGGCAGCTCAGACTATAGAAAATGGAATAATTTTATCTTCATCCTATGAAAATATGTTTTGACTAGCTTTCTTGTCATTCATCTAAATAATATATGCCTGCATTCTCTAACAATTTTCTATATTTGGGTGGTTGGTTATATGGATTCCGGAGAGCCATAGTTAACTATGTTAACATCTATTGACAGCCTGACATTTGAGTCATTTTATTCATTCATGATCTTATTTAAACCAAGCAGGAATGTAGCTAGTAATAAGTCAAAAAGTATTGCTACAATTACAGAACCCTTATTTTAAAAAATAATAAAATGTGAAGCTACCATTTCTTGACATATCCTCCCCATCTCAGAATACTTCTGAGGTATTCTAACCTGTCCCCAAAGGATTCTGTGCTCTTCAATTTATACTATATCAAAATGGCAGTTTGGGCTTCCCTGAGGGATTCAAATCATGTTCCTTTTCAATTGTTCTTTGAATTGGGGAAACACAGAGAAATCTGAAAGGGTTGTAGAGTGGATGGGGTAAGGTTCCCCAACAAAATTCCTGTAGGAGAGTCCTTGCTACCTTTGAAGAATGAGCAGGTGCATTGTTGTGAAGGGGAAAAAAATTATTGGCACAACTTTTCTGGCTTTTTTCTCACCAATGGAGTTTTCCATTTTCTTAAAACTTCTTCCTATTAAGTCCCTGAGATCATCCCATGTCCTTTGAGAAAACATCTATCAAGATCATCCCTTTGGAGTCCTAAAAATATGCACCATAACCTTCTGAATTGACCATTCTGTCTTAAATTTAACTGACCCAGCAGATTCCCTTGGAAATCAGTTTTGATTGGATCTTTTTCTTTTTCAGGCATCCTCATGAGATTAAAACAAATGTATTAATTACTGAGAGAACTTATCTACAGCCATCCACTGATCATGGAAGCATGTTTTGTTTAGAATAAAACCACAGTAAGCACTGGACTACAGATCACATTTTGAACCCATCAGCTGCTCCGTGGGCAAGAGGCTTCCTGTTCCTGCAAAGATTTTAAATCTCAGAAACCCTAAACAGGGTCACTATTAGTTGGCATTGATTTGGTGGCACTTAAAAATATCATATGGGTCAGGTCCTCTCAGAGCACACCCCCTTCTAAGACTAAGACTCAATGGGAATACATGCTCTGTTTGGTGACCACGTTCATCACCGATGAGGGAAAAACAGCAATGAAGCTGCAAGCTAAGCCCTACAATGTTTAATAGACTCCTGTGAACCTGGGTGGAGACCTGGTTGGCCAGCAGTGTGACAAGACCTGGGGACTCTTGAGTCCAGAGTCAGTGACATAGCCACAGAGGACTAGAGTGAAGAGTGAACCATCCAGCTGATAAGATGAGAAGACATATGCACAAGAACACCCACACTTGCAGATAATACCCACTTGACCTGGCTTCAATGAGTGGATAATCAGAGCTCAACTAGAAGAAGAAAGAAGAGGGAAAAAAAAGAGTAATCTGATACAATTTGATTAACTTGACCTACACCTATGGATGCAGTAGCTCAAAAGAGGAAACAAATCTTTACAGCAAGGATCATTCCCACCTCCTCCCTACACAGAGTAGATAGGGATGGGCAACTTGGACATTGGCTACCCAAAATGGCAGGAGGTGGTGGCTACAAAGGCAAAAAGTGACTGACTTACAAACTTTCAAGAGGGAACCTAGATCCAGAGGGCATAGAGGAAGGAAGAATCTCCACGGAATAGTATCCAATCTGTCTGGGCGGGGCTGATGGAAGGAGATGGGGATAGGTCTCTTGTGATATAATAGTGAATAATTGTTATCAGGACTGATTGTGAGGGTTGGAAATGTAAGGTGGACGTTTTGTAGCAAAAGGAGGGGAGTGGTTGACTTTGCAGTCCAGGAGTGGAGGTCCCTGGGACCATCAAGGGAGAAGAGCAGAGAGCGGGACCCTACCCAGAGAAGCAGCAACACCAGATATGGAGGTAGAGATGATGACATGGAGAAATGGAGTGGCTGGGGACTTTAGACCCAGAGAGGGAGAGGTGCTGTGTGATGACAACCCGGGGGCAGGCTTGCAGGGTATGTATACCCTTTGGTTGGTTGATAATGCATGGAGGGGATTGTAACCATGACAGTGAAATGATATACGATAGGATGAATGCAAAGCTAATGTTCTCCCATGTAAACTATCACATAATTCACAATAAAACATTTAAAATACATATATTTGTTGTCGTTAAGTGCCGTCAAGTCACTTCCGACCCATAGCGACCCTGTACAGGGTTTCCAAGGGTGTAAATCTTTATGGGAGTAGAAAGCCTCATCTTTCTCCTGCAGAGCGGCTGGTAGTTTCGAACCGCTGACCTTAAGGTTCGCAGCCCGATTCGTAACCACTACGTTACCAGAGCTCCTATATATCATATGAACTGGAACCCTAGTAGCATTGCTTTTTTACTTATCCTTGTATATTACAGAAGAAAATGTAATCTGTGTGGGTTCAGAAGTACAGCAAGAGAGAACAGAGTACCACGTGAACTGCCCTAAGTTTCTGGTGATAGTTCATAACTAAAGGCTGTGTGGAACAGCAGCATCTCAAAGCAGAGAAAGCTGAGCATATGGGCAGGATTCTGGGGCAGACATGACTTGCTGGTCTTAAACTTTTCTCCCCTTACTGTCCACTGTTGTTGTATGCCGTCAAGTTGGTTCCAACTCATAGCGACCCTTTGTGGGATTATCAAGAGCAGCTGATGGTTTAAACTGCCAAATTTGCAATTACCAATAGAGTGTTTATCCTACAGCACCACATCAGGGCCATTCTAACTGTTCACAGAGTTGTCAAATGCAGTAGCAGAAATACTCACCAGCATTCAGGATGAGTAGCTGTTGTAGAAAAGCCTCTCACCTGACACCCATGACCAGAGATGACCCTCTCCCATCTTGACTAATGACCAATACTAACCCTACCCCCTACCCTGGATTAAATAGAAAGGGAATGACACTCATAAAAAAAAATTCTTTTAATTTGCCAACTCTTGGTACAAAGTTTTATTTCAGCCTTTAAAACAATAACCCGAGAGTTCCGGTTTGCCAGGGTGGCCAGGTGGTGCGGGTGAGTGGGGGCTCCGGGATCATGGGGGGAAAACTCGCGAGTTAAACCTCCCAGGTAGGAATTCACAGTCTCACAGCCCGCGTGAATCTTAGTGCGCCAGAGCCTTAGACCCGCTTCTTTGAGAAATCACTGTGCAAGGAATTACAGGCTTTTTAAAAGGGCGCTGCGGCAGCCCCAGCTCCTTTGGGCTTGGGGGTGGGGCGGGAACCAGCTCGTGCGGAGCCTCCAGTGGCTGGGAGACTCAAACAGGGAGAGCCACTGGTGACACCTACCCCAAGGTGGGATTTCTGTGCATACAGTGGACAGAGGGAAGTTAGTTTAGGAGAGGAAAAGAAAAAACAAAAAAGCCTGCAGAAAAAGAGAAGTGGCGACTGTCTGACGTCATCAGGCGCGGACTGTGCCTGCCTGAGCCACTTCTGCCCTGCCCAGTTGACCCGTGTGTTCCCGGGGCCCGCCGGATGCGCGAAAGCGAGCGACCCGCCTCCCGCTGAACCGAGCAGCGTCCCTCAGCCCTGCCGGGCGTACGCCGGCAAACAGCTCACCTCACGCTCAACTGAACCGCGGAGCGCGGGGGCAGGCAGCCCACTTCCTGCTGCGAGCACCCACTGGGGAA